CAAGAGTGTGCTCTGAGGACGAGGCCCTGAGGCAGTGCAGGCATCTCGAGGACACCTGGCCCGGGGCTGCGCAAGGGCACTGAGCGGCCTGAGCCCGGGGACCCTGGCGGTGCTTTCCAGGCTCTCAACAGAACTTTGTCTTTCCACAGATTCCTGCACCTGCATAATCGCTCAGGGTACTGGTTGGTGGAGCTTATATCAGGGCCTCACACTCTAGTGGTCCTCGAGATAGTGGTGTCCTGAGACAGTTGTGCCACACTTCCCTTGGGCCTGGGGTTCTTGAACCCCCAGAATCCTAAGTCTAGGTGTAAGGTTATTTGAAGTCGTTCCTGTTTTTGGCAGCCTGTGGAATAAGACATGGGAGGTCCTCTCAGGTGTAGGTACCAGAATGTGCAGAGGCTTGGAGAGGATGCTAAACTAGTTCAGGGACCTGCAGGTATCCTTTGTTTCTCATGGGGACTGGGAATACTGGGACAGAAATCAGGTCTAGAGCAGCTTTGTGACAAGTTGAGTGTCTGTTCTCCAGGTGATGGAAGCATTGGGAGGGTTGGAGGAGTAGAGAGGGAAGTGATTTGAGGAAGGTCTCATTAGATTCCCTGTGGCTGCAGCATCAACAGTATGACTGTGAGGAAGCTGGTAGAAAGATCTGGGAGGAGGCTGCTACAATAGTCAGAGTGAGTGTGGTGGTAACTGGCCTATGATGGTGGCCATGGAGGTGGAAGAAGCAGTTGGATTTTGAATTGGTGTTTTAGGTGTGACTGCCTGGATTTTCTAATTTTGAGGCTGAGAAAGTAAGAGGAGTCAGTGATGACGTGAACATTTGGTTTTAGCAACTGGCAGTATGGAAGCACCATTAAGTGAGATGGCGAACTCCATCATAAAGTGGTTCTCAACCTTCCTAATGCCTTGACCCTTTAATACAGATTCTCATGTTGTGGTGACCCCCCAACCATAAAATTATTTTCGTTGCTACTTCATAACTGTAACTTTGCTACTGTTATGAATTGCCATCAGAAATATGTGTTTTCTGATGGTTATAGGCGACCCCTGTGAAAGGGTCGTTCAACCCCCAAAGGGGTCGCGACCCACAGGTTGAGAACCTCTGCCATAGTAGGAAGAGCAGTGTTCATTGGGAATATGAAAACTTTGTTTTTTTGCTTGCTAAGGTGTGAGATACTTCAGAGGGAGATCGTGGGTATTTGTAACTCTGAGGCGCAGTGCATAATAGAGACGTCTTCAAAATGTAGTGGAGAGTGTATGGACCAGGGTGGAGCTGTAGGTCTCTGTAATATGAGGGATTGTGGTTGGAAGGTAATGGTAATAGTAACACAGGAAGAGAAGTGTCAGCCTGAAGACTGGGATTCCTGCTTGAGCCCCTTTGTGGGAGGTGGGTGTTACAACACAGCAGAGGGACAGAAGTGGTCATGTAGAGGGTTTGGGAGAGATTATGGATTGGCAGTGGCCAAAGCCGTCAAAAGATGAGTGGATGTGAGATGAATTGGAGGCCTAGGAGTAATTTACACAAGATGAGATGGGTCTGGTGCATATTCACTGCTGTGAAGACTCACCACCATTTTGTTGTGACCTGGGGTGTTGCAGCAAAAGGGGCGGATTAGTTTATGGGCAAAAGTGGTCATCTGGGAGACTCACTGGGCATAGGATAGAGCGCCATCGGAGCTGGGCCTTGAGTGATGGTGAGGTGGAGAGAGAATGGCTGTGACTCATGGAGAGATATCAGGTGCAGCACTAGTGGTTGTGGGCTCTGGATAGCTGAGTCTGATGTGGTTCTCACTAGGTGAGGTTGAACGAAGAAAAAGCCAGGCATCGAGGCCTTCATAGCAGGACTCAAAGCTGCCTCTCTGAGTGTGGACTATCAGAGTCTGGATAGTACTTGATCCTGTTTGAATTTGCCAGACATTCTCTGGACCACATATGCTGAGTAAGGTGTGGGAGTTTAAGGAGGTGACTGTGGTGTAGGTCTGAATGAGCCTGGGGCTGTGGGATTGCAGGTGTGGTAGAAAGAGTGAGGTGCACTTGGAGTGGGAATGTGATTTCATGACCACAGGACCCTGGTCCTAGCATAAGTGAAGAAGGTGAGGTTTTAGAGATTCCAGGGTAACTGCCTGAAGAGGGTGTGTTGTGGTGCTGCATGCCATTTCCAGAGCATAGGTTCCATTTATGTGCCCCCGCCAGCCTTTTGTCGTTGTTGACAAAACTGACAACACTGACACAATGCTCAATTGGAATGAGATAGCACAGATAATGTCACCTGGGCTGAAATTCTCCACTGGCATGGCGAAGGGAGAAGGGTCCGAAAGAAACACGTTATGGTGGTGGTGAATTAGAATTTTGGAAAAGAAGCTGATTAGGAAACAAATCATCTTCATCATGGCGTATTTGTCATACCTTTGAAGTTGTGCCTCTGAGAATGTCGCTGCATGAGAGAGAAGTTATTCAAAGGATTGCGTGCAGAGGGTAGTGTAAACAGAAGGTCTTGGCATCCTGGCATTGATTTCAAAAGGGTGAAGGGTGATGCCATGTGTTTTGTGTCTTGGAGCAACAATCTGGGGAACTACGAGGGTGTTATGTGACAAGACGAGTGTCTAGTCACTCACACCCTCTCTATGGTCAACTACTCTTTCTACTCTGTGTTTGTGACACCCACCACATTATCAAGAAGCAGTGTGGTCTACATTCGAGGCAGGCTCAGAGTACATGTAACATTCCTCCACCTATCTATTTATTGTTGTTGTGGGAAGGAACAGCATCAATAGGAAATGAGAAAATAATGTCTCCAAGGCCTGTAATTTTCTCTGACGTGGAGAGTATTGTGAACAGATGGACATGGAGGGTGAGGGGTATGACAAACTTTGAATCCTAGGAGGAAACTGACCATGGAATGAACTGTCTCCATTATGACAGGATATGCACATTGAGGACGTGGCCATCGTCTTCTCCCAGGAGGAGTGGGCGCTCCTTGATGAGGCTCAGAGACATCTGTACTGCGATGTGATGGTGGAAATCTTTGCACTTGTAGCATCCATGGGTAAGACCTTCACATCCCTCCTAGTGAACTGAGGTGATGTCCTGCCTTCCCTTTACTCTCCAGATGTGGCTTTCTCTCTCCCACAGTCAGACCCTGGGCTCTGCTGATTTCCCCTAATTTCTTGTCACATGTGCTATGGCTGCCAGTGCTGAGTGCCCTGAGCAATGGACACCCTGAGCACCCCTAACACCTGTTGCTTCAAACATTGCAGGGATGTCCCATGGCCGGTTTAATTAACAGAGTGTCGGCCCCCAGTGCAGGGAGTCGTGGTTTCGAATCTTGTTGAGGGCACACACTTTGGTTACTATTTGATCTGCAGCCCTGTTTGGGGTCTTACAAGAGGCAACCAATCCATGTCTCTCTCACATCTATATTTTTTTTTCCCTCTTTCTTTCTTTCTTTTCTTTCTTTCTTTCTTTCTTTCTTTCTTTCTTTCTTTTCTTTTCTCTCTCTCTCCTTCTTCTCTCTTCTCTCTCTCTTCTCTCTCTCTCTCTCTCTCTTTCTTTCCTCTCTCTTCTCTCTCTCTCTCTCTCTCCTCTCTCTCTCTCCCTCCCTCCCCCTCCCTCCCTCCCCCTTCCAATCTATCTGAAAATGAATGGAAAAATATTCTCAGGTAAGGATTTAAAAAAAAGGTGCAGGGACGTGTCTAGAGTCAGGAGTCTTGCAGATGGCCTAATGGATCTCACTTTGCTTTTCTTCTCTCTGGCAACGTGACTATGTTCAGATCCATGCTTTCCACATCTGCCTCCATCTTTTGGCTAAAGGTTTTATTTTATTTTAATTTTGAAAAACTTTTTCTTCATTAATTTTTAGAGAGAGAGAAACACACAGGGAGAGAGAGATAGAAACATCTATGACAGAGAGCATTGTTTGGCCACCTCCTGCACATCCCCCACTGGGGACTTTGCCCACAACCTGGGCATGTGCCCTGACTGGGAATCGAACCAGTGACCTCCTGGTGCATGGGTTGATGCTCAACCACCTAGCCAAACCGGCCATGCCTAGCTAAAGGTTTTTTGATTGCCTGTGGCAGGTTATGGTCTTTGCTTATGTGACCTTGGGCTGTTCTGGTTAGACCCTGCCACTGTTGTTTGTATAATTTCTTTCAAGCAACACACCTGTGTGCTGAGTTCCTCTAGGTGTTCACCTCTCTTGTCTTTCATTGATACTCAGAATATTTAGGTCTTACATACTTGTACAATAGAAGGTGCAGGGAGAACCCTGTTTTTTTCCACAGGGTGAACATGCAAGATGGTCTTAGATGGGGCCTGGCCCTGCTGCATAGCAGTTGGGGGAAGGTATGACATAATGACTCTGTTCAGATCCTACCAGGAACCTGCTGTGTCCGGCAGTGTTTAGGTGCAAGTGCCACTGGCCTCACCTCATTTCTACCTTTTCTTGCCAATACTTGACACTTTGGTGTCTTTTCATTTCATTTGTGACTTCCTGGCTTTTGGCTAACTTTACCTTTGTGGCCTTTTTGCATCACCTTTCTCTGCACGGGTCTCTGTAGTGTTCTCTAACATTGACCTGCACTTGTGTTAAGAGGTGCACATACATGCTTAAGTACTCCTTGAGCACCAGTTACTTGTTTATTGAATTTTACTTGGAACTGGAAATAACCAACCGCCTGCATAGCTTGCCCACAGCACTAGCAGACAAGCCCTACTGAACGCTGTTAGCAGAAGCATGAGTTGGAGATCTTGTTTGTCTTCCATGTGTTACTTGCCATCTTTGTGTCATTTTTCTGGTGAGGTCTTTCCTGTTTTGTGATCTTCAGGGGCCCAGAACTTCACAGCAGGCTGTTAATCCTTCCTGCAGGTCTCTTATTTTCCAACAGTCACGTGATCCAGCGTATTATGTGTTACACACTTTTGTGATGGGACTTCCCCCTGTCATCAAAGTGAACATACGTTTCTTTAGCATTTCTCTGTTTTCAGGTTGTTGGCGTAAAATGGATGATGAGATGGCCCCTTATGAGGAGATTGTATCTATAGAAGGAGAAGCACAGATCAGGGAATCTCAGACAGCTTCAGCAACCCAGAAGACCCATCTCTGTAAGCACTGTGTCTCAGTGTTGAAAGATATATTGCACCTGACTGAGTTACAATCAGCAAACCCTGAACATAAAGCATTGTTCAGTGACACATGTATGAGAGGCTTCTGTTCCAGTGTTAACCTTCACCAGCAACATAGGGATGCCAGTAGAAAACAGCCCTGGAAAGAAGACATGGACAGGGCCTCTGTTGTGAACAGGTGCTGCTTCTACTTATTAGGGGAGTCTTTCACCAATAGGGATGTAGGTGAAGACGTCCCAGCCACCTCAGGGCTTCTCCAGCACCAGGCCATGCATAACATTGAGAAGCCGCACACTGGCAATGAGATTTGCAAGGAATGTTTCACAGGAAAAGGGCCTCACCAGTGGGGTGAATGGGAGAAGCCAGCCTGCCACCACCAGAAAGTTATTCAGTGTCAGGGTGTATGCTCTGGAGAAGGACTTTGTGAGTGTAACAAATGTGGGAATGTTTTTAGGCAAATCTTTAACCTCATTCAACATTGGAAAATTCACACTGGAAAAATGCCATCTGAGTGTAGTGCTTATGGCAAGTCCTTCAGCCAAAGCTCTGCCCTCATTCAACACGAGAGAAATCACACTGGAGAAAAGCGGTATGAGTGCAGTGTTTGTGAGAAGTCCTTTTGTCAAAACTCTAGCCTCATTCAACACCAGAGAGCTCACATTCATGCGGGAGAAAAGCCTTATAGGTGTAATGATTGTGGGAAGTCCTTCAGTTCAAGGTCTACCCTTATTAAACACCAGAGAGTTCACACTGGACAAAAGCCGTATGAGTGTCTTGATTGTGGGAAGTTCTTCCGTCAATGGTCTACCTTCATTAGACACCAGAGAGTTCACACTGGAGAAAGGCCATATGAGTGCAGTGTTTGTGAGAAGTCTTTCCGTCACAATTCTAGCCTCGTTAAACACCATAGAGTTCACACTGGAGAAAAGCCCTATGAGTGCAATGTTTGCAAGAAGTCCTTTCGTGTCAATGCTAGCCTCATTATACACCAGAGAGTTCACACTGGAGAAAGGCCATACGAGTGCAGTGTTTGTAAGAAGTCCTTCAGTCAAAATTGTAACTTGATTCGACACCAGAGAATTCACACTGGAGAAAAGCCTTATGCATGTAGTGATTGTGGGAAATCATTCACTCTGAGGTCTACGCTCATTCAACACCAGAGAGTTCACACAGGAGAAAAGCCGTATCAGTGTACTGATTGTGGGAGGTTTTTCAGTGGAAATTCTTCCCTCTTTAAACACCGGAGACTTCACTGTAGAGAAAAGCCCTATGGTGTACTGATTGAGGGAAATTCTTCAGTCTAAGGTTTACCCTCACTGTACACAGAGAGTTCACCCTGCATAAAAGCCCTGAGTGTACTGATTTTGGGCAGTTCTTCGATCAAAGCACTGTGCTCATTAAACACCGGAGAGTTCACACTGGAGGAAAGCCGTATGAGTGTAATGAATGTGGGAAATGCTTTAGACAACATTCTAAAGGATTTATTCAACACTGCGCAATGCATTCTGGAGGAAAGCCTTATGAGTGTGGCAAATGAGAAATTTTTTAGTGATAACTCTAGCCTCATTTAACACCAAAGAATTCATACCGGAGAAAAGCTGTATGAGTGTATTGATTGTGGGAATTCCTTCAGGAAAAACTCTGCCCTCATTCATTAGCAGAGGGTTCACACTAGAGAAATCTGTATGAGAGTAGCGATTGTGGGAATGCCTTCCACTGAAGCTCTTTTCCTTATTGGACAACAGAAGGTTCACACTGTTACCTATATGAAGGGTGTAGCAAAAGTAGGCTTACTGTTGTGAGTATTTAAACCATAGTTTAGTCTCTTTTTAAAAATATTTTTATATTTAAAATTTTTTAAATTTTGTTCTTTATTGCTTAAGAGATACATAAAGAGAAAGAGAGATAGAAACATTGAAGAGAGAGAACATCGATTAGCTGCCTCCTACATGCCCCCCACTGGTGATTTGGCCCACAACTTGGGCATGTTCCCTAACCAGGAATTGAACTGGTGACCTCTTGGTACCATTGAAGATCAACCACAGAGCCTCACTGACGGGGCTGAAAATAATTTTTATTGTTATCCTAACCGGAGTTCGTCTCTGCTTTTTTTTTTAGATAGAGCAGGAGGGGGAGAGAGAGAAATGTCAACACAAGAGAGATATATCCAGTGGCTACCACCCACACAAGCCCAAGGGGGCGCCGAGGACAAATTGCAATCGAGGTTTGTGCCCTTTGTAGGAACCTAACCCTGGTCTTTCTGGTCTGCGGGCCGATGCTCTAACCGCTGAGCCAGACTGGCCACACTAAAAATAAATATAATAGTGTGGTGAAGGCTGGGGTTGCAGCAGCGGGGAGCAGAGCATCAGTGTGGAAAAAGGAGGGACGTCTGTAATAGTTTCAACAATAAAGGTAAATTTAAAAAGTATTTTTATTGTTTTTTTAGAGACGGGAAGGGAGAAGGGAGAGAGAGAGAGACAGATAGAAAAACGTTGATGTGGGAGAGAAACATCAATTGGCTTCCTCCTGCAGGCCCCCTATTGGGGATCAGGCCTGCAACCCTGGCATGTGACCTGACCTGGAATCGAACCACTGACTTTTTGGTTTACGAGATGATGCCCAGCTATCTGAGCCACTATGACCAGGGCAGAGTTTATTCTTTATTTTATCCTCACCAAAGGATATTTTTTTATTTATATTGGGTAGAGGGGTGGAAGGAGAGAGGGAGACAGAAACATTTATGTGAGAGAGACACAGCGACTGGGTGCCTCCTGTGCACTCCCAGTCAGGGCCAGGTTTTGAACCACAACTGAGGTACATGCCTTTGACTGGAATCCATCCCACGACTCTTTAGTCCTCGGCTGATGCTCTAACTGCTGAGCCAAACCAGCCAGGGCCACAGTTTATTCTTGTATTATTATTTATTAATTATTGTATTATTTTTCATACCAGCACATCTAAACCTCCTTTTGCCACACCTGTATTGACCTCCTGCTCTTTTGTAATCTTTCTGCCTTCCCCAGCCCTCCATGCAGTCATTAATTTGCCTTCCTATACAATACATTAGTTCATATTTTTGAATATTTTATAGGCATCATAAAGTGTATACTCTTTAACAAATGCTGGTTTCCTTCATGCAACACAGTTAATTTGAGATTCAATACTAATGCTTATATGAATAGTTAATTTTTTAATTGCTCAGTAGTAGTGTGTTCTGTGGATAACCACTTTATCCATTGATCTGTCTATGGTTTTTGTTATCTCCAGGTTTATTGCATTACAAAGAAATCTGTTAGGAAAACTTGCATTTGTTTTTATATGTAGATACATGTATTGTCTCTAAAGCTGTTATAGTGTAGATGAATGTTTTACATTTTAAGCAATGCAGAACTGATCTAAAATGGTTGATTTCCTTGCCTTCCCACCAACCCACAGTATAGTGAAAAATCCAGTTTTTCTGTAACCCTCCCAGCACTTACTATAGTTACTCTATTAAATATTCCCCCTGGAATTTATATAGTGTTCACTGACTTTGGTTTCAATTCCATTTGCCTAAGAATTTATGATGGTGAGCTTTTGTTTATGCGTTTATTTAGGGTGTCTTTATCTCGCTTTGTGAAATGTCTGCTCAGAATCTTTTGCCTATTTTTTAAATGAATTTACTATTGTAACTAATAGGAAGGTAGTCCTGCATCTAAGACATATGTTGGAATTCCTCAATTTTTCATATGTCATCTTTACTCTATGGAATAATATTTTGTGAATATTAGAAAGAAAATTTTTTTCTTTTTAAATTCTCACCCGAACATATATTTATCTTTAGACAGAGTGGGAGGGAAACACAGAGAGAGAGAGCGAGCAAGAGAGAGAGAGACAGACAGAGACATCAATGTGAGACAAACACATTAATTGGTTACCACCCACAGGATCCCAACCAGGGCTGGGGACCAACCACAACCAAGGTACATGCCGTTGGGTGGTATCGACTTAGGACTCTTTGATCCACAGGCCGAAACTCTTAACAGCTGATCCAACCCGGCCAGGGCATCTATTTTTATCCTATGTAAAATTTAAAGCACACTCTTACCAGACATGTATAATTTTAATGTGCATTGTTAACATTTTCCACTACTTCTTTTTAAGTCTAAACGTTCAATAATACATTAAGTGACGTCTGGGTTTGTCATCGTTTTTTAGTTTCTCTGGTGTAAATACTCATTGTGGTCAATTTCAAACTGCCAAAATGATGTCACTGAACGTAAAGATGATAAGATGTTCCAGTAGCACATCATTATATTTTATTTCCAACATACTGATACAATAGCAACAAATATGCTCAAGAACATTCATAATCAAATTGTACAATAATTGGGAAGTGACAGGTTTTTTTTTTTTTTTTTCAGGTAGAGTAGGAGGGAGAGAGAGGAACAGAGAGAGAGAGAGAAAAACATCCACGTGAAAGGGACACATAGAGTGGCTGCCACCTGCACGACCAACCATGGCCGGGGACAAACTGCAACTGAGGTACGTGCCCTTAGCGGGAACCGAACCCAGGTCTCTCTGGACCGCAGGCCGACGCTCTAACCGCTGAGCCAAACCGGCCAGGGCGGAAGTGACAAGTTTTAATCTTTTTGTTGTTATTAATCCTCCCCAGAGGTTTTTTATTCTCCATTTATTGTTACCTGGAGTGGGAGGGAAAGAGAGTGGGAGGGAGGGAGGGAGGGAGAGAAAGAAACAGAGAGGGAGGAACATTGATGTGAGGATACACATCTATTGGTTGCCTTCCACATGTGCCTCAACTGGTGCCAGAGATTGAACCCGCTAGCAAGGTGCCTGTCCTTGACCGGGAATTGAATTCACGACCCTTCAGTGCGTAGGCGACGCTTAAAGCAGTGAACCACACTGGCTAGAGCTAAACGTTTTATTTGAGTATAATTGATTTAAAATAAACATTTTTTAAAAATGTGTACTTTTGATGTTTCCGTACATGCTTGCATCCCTGATATCAACTTACTCCTGCCCTTTCAGTTTTTACTTCTCTGCTCATAAAATTACTGATGCAGGTACGTGTTCTACCTTTAATAGCTTACTTCCCATATATCCATAAATAGAAAACACTTATAAAACCCCATGAATCCTATCATAGCCTTTCATCATTATCTGTCATCATGGTGGTTTCTTTTTTTTCTTATATATGTTTTTGATTTGAGAGTGAAATGAAGGAGAGGGAGAAACATCAATCAGCTGCCGCCCACTCCCACCCCATTAGGGGATGGAGCCCACAACCTGGGCCTCTATCTGACCAGGTGTCCCAACCAGGAATCTATCCAACCACCTCTAAGTGCACAGGAAGATGCTCAAACAACTAAGCCACTTGGGCCAAGACCACGGTGGGTCTTGTATCTATCCCCAGGCACTTCACTGAATATTACTTAACATGCCAGATTTGTCTGTCCCTGGCTAGATAGCTCAGTTGTTTAGACCATCATCTCCATATGCCAAGGTTGCAGTTTATATCCCTGGTCAACAAAAATCAACCAATGAATAAATAAAATTAATGGAACAACAAATAGATATTTCTTTTTCTTTCTAAAATCAAAATGATCTTTCACCCAGTCAGTCCTCACACATGTGAACACGACCACAGCCCAAGTACCCCATGGTTAACCAGCAGCCAGGGTCCTCCAGTGGGCAGAGCACACAATGACAGACAAAGCTGGAGGGGAGGGGCTGCTGCTGTTGTGTGGCAGGTGAGGACTGGGTGCTGAGCTTCAGTCTTACCACGGGATGGTGGCATCAGTCTGTTTCCTGGGACTAAACCAAATGGGCTGGGAGTCACTCTGGGCCTGGACATGTCTCTTGTGGTCTCTATGCCTTCAATCTTGAGTTTGAGACTGGACTGCTTTGTATTCAGATGGTTGAGGAGTCCATACTTTTCTCAGGTGTGAAGGTGGGAGCAGCAGTGGTAGCTGGGTATATGGGTGTGGGTAGGGAAAGACCAGGACAGTTGCCAGTGAGAGTTGGTTCTGGGGCCATCTGTGTGGCTCATAGGCTCTCTCTGGTCATAGTCCAGGCTGGTGGCTGCTCTGTTCTTTTGGGCACAGTCATTGTGAAATGGAGCAAGCTTCGCTGCAGGAGTTCCTGGGCATCATGACGTGGGAGTCAGTATGTGCTCGAAGAAAAGTTGTGGCCCAGGCAGGTGCAACCCGGTCCACTGTAATAAAAATCTCTGGCCCTTGAGCTGCCAGGTGAGGGAGAGGAGCTGTCTGCATAGGCTGATTCCCTATTGGCTCAGCAGGAGGGGTTGCTGACTGCTGAGCATCTTAGTGGTGTCCTGAGTTGTGTCTTGAAGTTTAGGGACTTAAGGAGTGTGCAGCTATTTATCAGTCTAATGAGAGAACATGGTCTTCATCTTTCCTTAATGATTAAACATCAACCCTGATGCACTGAGATGGGGTCTCTGCCTGCACATACTCTTCCCCTCACTACACCCCCTCACTCATTCTTGGCTTTGCCTGGGATATTTCCTCTGGGGCTGGGGCACTCTCTGTCCTTCCTAGCGGTTGGCAGAGAAAAGCCCAAGGCAAGGACCTGGGAGGGGATTATGGGTTCTGCATCTGCCTGAGAGGAGCTGGTCAGAAATCTTCAGTGTCCATCCTGAGGTCTCTCCAGCCTGGTCTTCCCTCCCCCAGGCAACTGACAGACTGCAGCTGCAGCTCCCTCTGTATCCCAGAGATGTCCCCTGATGCTTTGAGCCCCCAAATCAATTCTCTTTTGTAAAATCCAGTCTCCCGCAAGCCCATGCACACTCCTGAGCCCCACTGGGGTTGTTTGAATGTCTTTATATTTGCAGTTTTTGTGGGTGACATTTTCACTCTGATTTAATTAAAAATAAAGCTCCCCAGCCAGTCCTGGAGTTAGCATAGATTCTCCAGGAAACGGTGCTGTGTTTTCTCAATTCTCCAATAAAAGTGCTCCCAGAGTGCTAGGCTTGATCTCAACAAGATACCACATTGGGTGTGTGTGTGTGTGTGTGTGTGTTGTAGGTGGTGTCTCCCTTCCCTAATTTTAGCCTGTGCAGAGCAGACCCTTGGTCCCTAAGTGAGGTGATGTACCCTGGTGGACACTGTTGAGCCAGACTGTTCCAGACTCTGGGGTAGTACAGAGTCCCCTGCCCTTGGCAACTGGCATTCTATTAGAGAGTGCACAGACAGTGAGGCAGTGTAGCTATTACAGGTGACATGAGCTCAGGAGAAAGATGAAGCTAGAGATGGTCAGTAAGGGCCTCCCTGAGAAAGTCTGCAGAGGGATGGCAGGGTCCAGGAGGGGGTCCTGAGAGGAGCATGTCCTGGGAGATCAGGGTGGCTGGTTTGGGCATCCAGGATCCAAATCTGGAGTCATGGCTGGGCTGTGAGCACTGTGGGAGGACGACCTTCTCAGGAGGCTTCTCAGTTTGTTTCTAACCCCAGGCTGCCTTGTGGAAGGGCTGGTATGTGGCTCCTTCAGCAAAATCAGTGCCCAGCGGGGAATTTACAGTACTAAATGTAAATAAAAATGCAGTGGCTTAAACATTTTTGCTGATTTATGATTAAAAGTGTATCTGTAAGCCTGGCCGGTGTGGCTCAGTGGTTGAGCATCAGTTTGATTCTGAGTCATCTCTCATGCCTAGGTTGTGAGCAAATCCCTAGGGGAGGGCATGCAGGCAGTGGCCGATCTATGTTTGTATCTCTCACTTCTCCCTTCTTCTCGCTCTCTAAAATCAATAAAGAAAAACAATTATTTTTAAGTGTATCTGTAAGGTTCTTTTCCACAAGGATAGTTCTCCAGAGAAGAGTAACAAATATAGAAATTTACAAGGAGGCAGTAATGATGGTAAGCATCCATAGAATTTATAAAACCAGGCTGAAGGTAAAAATAATGAGGCAGGATATGCAATAGATGAAATGATATTTCAGATAATGAGGAGTCTTACGCATTTACAATACATCTGTCTCAAGAAATTCTTTAGAAACCTGACAATTGCCTCCAAGAGTACTCAAGGGGATTGCTCTGCTTTAAGAAAGACTGCAAACTGCCCGGCTGATTTTGCTCAGTAGTTAGAGTGTTAGCCTGTGGACCAAGGAGTCACGGGTTCCATTCCTGTCAAGGGCAAGTACCTCGGTTGCGATTTGTCCTGTCCCTGGTTGGGTTGTGCAGGAGGCAACCAGTCGATGTGTCTGTCTCTCTCAAGTCGATGTTTGTGTTTCTCTCTCCCTCCCTTCCTTTTTCCCTCCCTCCCACCCCTCCATTCTATCTAAAGATGAATGGAAAAACTGTACTCGGGTTAGGATTAACGAAATAAATAAATCAAGACTGCAAATTGGCCAATGCTTCCTTCGTATCCCATGGTTACGTTAATTTTTATCACTCAAAGTCTACCTTAAGTTAACCAAAAATAAATTACTTTATTCAGACACCATTGGATTTTAGTGCTTAATTAAAACCAAGGTGAGGATCTTGAAAATGACACTCATAATGTGGGATTTCTCTGAGATCCGTGATATTAAATTTTTTTTTTTTTTTTTGCCTCTTAATGTGAAAGACAGACTTCCAATGGATTCAGATCTGGTAACTTATACAGAGATTGCTCTGGATTTAACTATATATCCGTGAAAATGCAACACCTTAATTGTGAATGGCAGCTGAGTCAAGGTCTCTTGTTCCTGTGGTGTTTGCAGGACTCGCCCTGGAGTCCCTGCCCCCCCCCCCTTCCCCCCGTTGACCCTGCCTGCTGGAAAGGTTTATGCAGAAGCATCCTGCCCAAGGTCTCTGGTAAATCCTCTGTGCTGGCAAAGCCCATGCAGGAGCCTGGGAGCAGAGGACAAGAATGTATCAACAGTTTCTACCTAAGCTCAGAGGCCTATGAGAAACATCTGCAGTTTGAAGACACTAAAACTTTTTAATTCCCCCACCCCTTCAATTGGCTATAGAATAAGCTTGCTGAGCTGGCCAGCTCAGAGGCACTGTTTCTCCATCAGAGAGCAGTGTCCCACCTGGCCCCAGCGTTCCTTTTTATAACATCTCTGTGTCTTTTTTAGTCTCCCGTTGCCCCTTTTCAGGTCTGGTTTGACTACCGTGCAGGTTGCGGCACTTAATTTTTTTTTTTTTTTAATCCTCTCCTGAGAATGTTTATTGACTCTAGAGAGACGGGAAGGGCTAGAGCGAGCCAGAAAAATTTGATGTGAGTGAAACAGGGATTGGCTGCCTCCTGGAGGCTCACAAAGTACACTAAGGTCCCCGACTTCATGCAGTTTAATTGGCAGAAAATGGTGAACACATTCCAGCTCAGGGTGGACGTATTGTGTGTCTGAATGAGAATATACGTCCATTTGGATCTGTAATCTTTGAATTATTCCAGTAAAACTTTTCACCTCAGGGAGCACTGTTAGCTTTAGGGAGTCTAAAATAATGTCTCCAGAAATGTGATCGGTTGCAGACAAAACTCCCCAGAAACAGCAGACAAAACTCCCCAGAAACAGGCGAACCGCCCCTAAAACCTGAAGCTGTCCTTCCCCAGGGCCACTCGCCCCGCCACAACCCCTTTACTCACTAGGTCAGTGACTGGGCCGCTGACGGCCGCCGGGCCGCTGAGGAAACTACATTACCCAGAAAGCTGTGCGCCCAGCGCAGCGGGGGTTGAGCCAGGAAACTCAGAAAAGGGCTCATCGGTCCCTGCGCATCTTCTTAGGGCGGGACTTCCGGCGTCCTGCTGGTGGTGGTCGTTTCGAACTCTGCCTGTTCTCCTGGTCCGAGGTTCCAGCGTGTGTGGTGGGCACCGCAGAGGGACCGGGGAGTCGCCCCGCTGTGCAGAGGCGGGTCCGAGGCCTGTGCAGCCGCAGCTGCTGGGATCCGGGCGTCGGCGCCTCACAGAGTCCTCTCCGCCCGCAGAGCCCGTTGCGGCGGCCGCGCTGAGGCGCCCGGCTGAGGTGAGAGCGCGTCCCCCGGCCTCCCGCCTGCCCGCCCCGAGCCCTGCAGCCCGGGTGCGGGCGCCCGTCACGTCCTGCAGCCCGGGCCCGGCCGTGTGGACCGAGAGGTGCTCGTGGGTGACACGCGGGGAGGCGACAGGCTGAGGAGCCGTCGTGTAAACACACGCGGGGCCGCTGAGCCAAGGACATTCGGGAAACCTGGGCCCTGTTTCGTGTTTAAAGGCAACGGAGGTGAAGGAGCAGTTTTACTTTCATTCTCAGACGCCGGGGGCCTTGCAGGGTCGTGAACAGAAGAGGGACACTGAGGTCGGGTTCTAACGTTTCCCCAAAGCTGCTCAGAGGAAGGACAGACTGGAAGGGAGAGGAGCGCAGGGAGGACAGGAGGTGAGGGCCTGTAGAGACAACGTCACTGGCACGAGTGTGCTCTGAGGATGAGGCCCTGAGGCAGTGCAGGCATCTCGAGGTCACCTGGCCCCGGGGCTGCGCAAGGGCACGTGCGGCCTGAGCCCGGGGACCCTGGCGGTGGTTGTCAGGCTCTTAGCGGACCTTTGTCTTTCCACAGATTCCTGCACCTGCAGAATCGCTCAGGGTACTGGTTCGTGGAGCTTATATCAGGGCCTCATCATTTTATGGTCTATTAGACAGTGGTGCCCTGAGACTGTTGTGCCACACTTCCAGCCCTAGGGCCTGGGGACCCTAAATAGACAGTTAGTCAAGAGTCAACTAAGAAATGTCTAAAGCTGTAAGAAGTTTTATGAGTTTAGTAGAGCTAAACTGGCCACCGTTGCCAGGAAGAAAAAGCTCGGGATTGAGAAAGTGCTCTGGAAAATGGCTGTTTTGCACTTTATTTTATACATTACAATCCAAGGAGGAGGTGTAAGGTGGGTTATATGAAATTTATTGGTGATAGGTTAGGGAGGTGGGAGAAAACAAAGTGAGAATACCTCCAGGATTGGATAAAAAGTAAAGTGATAGACACATACTCTTTTTACATCGGCAGATAGAGGATAGTTAACAGTCAACCATTAACGTGATACTGTGGAGACTTGTGATTTCTTTTTTGGTGAGATTGTTGCTTTGAGGGGGTCCAGAAAACGGGAAATTACTTTGTTATTCCAAAGCGATGTTATAAGGTATTTTATTCTAGATGCAAAAAGACAACAGACAGGCTCAGTTAAGGTGTTAAGATTGACCTTTGTGAGATAAAGCACTGCCCTAGGACAATACTAAGTGCCCTGAAGTGCTTTTAGTTAAAAAGTTTTAAGTCCATCCTATGTGGTTACTGTAAGTTATCTCAGGGAGAAAGAAAGAGAAACGGAGTTGCAAAAGCAGGCAAGAAAATTTTATTGAAGTGTTCCTGGGCGAGGTCCACTGGTCCATGTGGCAGGAGCCAGGGAAGTTGAGCTGCTACTTTTCCGGGGAAGATTTATAGCCACATTAGGGACCTGGGTGGGGTGATTACATGTGGCTTCAGGAGACTGGCTGGCTACAGGGGGAGATTCAGCTGTGGCGTATGTTGATCGACTGGGAAGGGTGGTGGGATGTGACCAGGAGTGTTGCCTCAGCCACATCCGGGTAGGCGGAGCTTCCTTAGTTAGGTTCCCATTTCTGCTCTGGCCATCCATTTCCCAGGTCATGCAACTCCCAGAAGCCCACAACCCTACAGTTACTTTAGGTCTCTAAGTTTGAAAGGCCACCATGTGTGCCTCATTTGAGCTTGTCAGGTTAAACACATGGCGGGTTTTCGCCACACATCCCCCTATTTGTCATAAATCAATCCAAAGGATGCATTAATGACCAACTCTTGATTATATAATGAGACCTCACAGTGCTAGGAAGGCTCCTTCTTAGGAAGTCTCCATGGCATTTTTTTTTTTTTTTTTTTTTTTGCTGCATCATGGAGCATTGGGGATCAGACAAGACCTTAACCTTGTATGGAAGTGAAGGCCATTTTTTCCCCCCAAAAGTGAAAAGTAGGTAATGAGAGACACTCAGGTCTCACTGGCCTTTATTTTTATTTTATTTTATTATTATTATTTTTTTATCCTCACCCGAGAACATCTTTCCATTTTTTGTGCAGATAGAGTGGGAGGGAGAGAGAGGAAAAGAGAGAGACAGAGAAACATCGATGTGAAAGGGACACATCGAGTGGCCGCCTCCCACACGACCCAACCAGGGCCAGGGACAAACTGCAACCGAGGTACGTGCCCTTAGTGGGAACCAAACCCAGGTCTCTCTGGACTGCAGGCGGACGCTCTAACCACTGAGCCAAACCGGCCAGGTTGAGTGTTTTTCTTAATAAAGGCTGGTGAGCCCTGGCCAGTTTGGCTCAGCAACTGGAGCGTCAGCCCGCGGTCCAGAGAGACCCGGGTTCGGTTCCCGCTAAGGGCGCATACCTCGGTTGCAGTTTGTCCCTGGTCCTGGTTGTGTCGTGCGGGAGGCGGTCACTCGAAGTGTCCCTTTCTCATCCATGTTTCTCTGTCTCTCTCTCTTCCTCTCTCTCCCTCCCACTCTATCTGAATAAAAAATGGAAAGATGCCCTTGGGTGAGGATAAAAAAAGAAAAAGAAAAATACTTCAGATCCTTTCTAACCAATAAGCTATCATGATCCAAGTTTTGTTGTCTCTATTTTTCAATATTTCGCATCTAATATGACATTTATTTTTAATTTAAAGGCATATCCTATACCTTTTCAGTTTTCATAATTTGAGCATGAGATGGGTTTTTATTTACTGTGACCCATTTACTTCCCAATGGAAGCATTCGGTTGCTCTTACTAGTTTGACTTCCACTAGTTGTCCAATTGGAAGCTGTACCCTTAAGTTTTAATCAGGGCCAAGGCTGTAAGAAGAGAATGCTATAAATTACTATTATCATCCAAAATCCCAGAGACCAGGAGGACAGTACGAGATTCATAAGTAAATCTGTGCCTCAGCAGCACTTGTAGAGGGCCATGTTTTCATAGCATCAGCTTCTGTCTGAACTAATATAGTTAGTAATCTTTGCTAGGTTAGGTGGTAAGCACAATCTCATAATTAGATTATGGCATTTACATGTAAAATTAATTTCTTAATATTCCTTTTCTACTAACTTGTTATAATTTGCCCGTTCTTAGTTTGTTTCTTTTTATTCATTCAAATATAATCAACTTAATTAGAACAACATATTTTCTTTTAACTTTTCTTTAAAACATATATATATACCTTTCCTTCTTATTGCAATAACATTTTTTCTAAATTTTTAAAGAGGAACAATAAAGAGAGTATTATTACTTTTTACTATGTTTTGATTGATTTTTAGAGAGAGAGAGAAAGAGAGAACTCTGGCCGGTTTGGCTCAGCAGTTAGAGCTTTGGCCCTCAGACCAAAGAGTTGTGGGTTTGATTCCGGTCAAGGGCACATACCTTAGTTGCAGTTCAGTCCCTGGCCCTGGTTGGGGTTGTGCAGGAGGCAGTCAATGTGTCTCTTTTGAATTGATGTTTCTCTCTCTTCCTTTCTCTCCCTCCCACTCTATCTGAAGATAAATGGAAAAATATCCTCAGGTGAGGATTTAAAAAAATAAATAAAATAGAAAGAAACATCAATCAGCTGCCTTCTGCATGCCCCCTTCCCCACTGGGGACCAAGCCTGCAACCCTGGCATTTGCTCCAACTAGGAATCAAACTGGAGACCTCTTGGTGCATGGGACAACACCCAACCAACTGTCCCATACAGACCAGGATGAGTATTATTTTTTTTTATCCTCACCTGAGGACATTTTTACATTTATCATCAGATAGAGTGGGAGGGAGAGAGGGAGGAAGAAAGAGAGAGAAACATCAATGTGAGAGAGACACATTGACTGGTTGCCACTCAAACGATCCCAACCAGGGCTGGGAACAAGCTGTAACCGAGGTATGTGTCCTTAGTGGAAACTGGAAACCGAACATGGGACTCTCTGGTTCGCAGGCTGATGCTCTATCTGCTGAGCCAAACCGGCCAGGGCAGTACTATTGATAATATAAAAATTATCTTATTCACTTGCAGAAATTATTAATTGTTGGCCTATATGTACAAGGTTTGAGAAAAGCCTAAAACAAACAAACAAAACCCCCAAGTATAATAATAAATACGCTTGGCTGGTGTGGCTTGAGCGTCATCCCATGGACTAAGAGGTCCCTGTTCGATTCCCCATCAGGGCACATGCCCAGGTGGTGGGCTCCATCCCCAGTAGAGGGTTTGCAGGAGGTAGTCAATTGATGCTTCTTTCTCACATTGATGTTTCTGTCTCTCTTCCCCTCCTCTCCAAAAAATCAATAAAAACATATTTTAAAAAGATTACTGTCTTGGGTGATTTGGCTCAGTAGTTAGAGTATCAGCCTGTGGACCGAAGAGTCCTGGGTTTGGTTCCCAGTCTAGGGCACATACCTCAGTTGCAGGTTCTATCCCAGACCCCTGGGTCAGGGTCATGAGGAGGCAACCAATTGATGTATGTCTCTCACATTGGTGTTTCTTCCCCCGTCCCAGTCCATCTTTAAAATAAAAAAAAAATCAATGGAAAAATATCCTTGGGTGAGGATTTAAAAAAATAGTAAATAAATTATTTTTATTAATATTAGCAGATAGATAAAAATAATCAAATGAAGTTCAACATCAATTTGTAGGTATAAAGGTCTTGTCAGTGTCTTGGAATAGCTTCCTTTCTCTGATATCAGCGCACTTCTCATCCTCAAGAAGTCTTTGAAAAAAAAGAAGAAGTCTTTGATCTCTACTGTAGGTGGAGGGAAGTGTCAGAGACATACAGATATCAGTTTGTGGTTGCATCTGATAAAGCAATATTGGAGATACTTTAATTAATGTTTTTCCAATAGAAAAAGATATCCTGGTTGTAAGTGGTGGTCTTTGAAGGCTTTGTCTCCTGGGAGTACACTGTGAAATGAATGTTACTAATTTATCAGTCCCTAGAAGCTAGTTAATAAGCCCTTCATAATGATGCAGAGTATCTCCTTTAATAAAGTTGAT